GGGGGGGGGACGATACAAAGCTGGTTACTTACATGTTGTTCACTCACAGGGACCTCCAAGGCTAGAAACACACCAACCCGCTAGACCCCAAACCAGACTCACGGCCCCCCAGTCGATGCCGACCCACGGGGCGCCCCCACGGGACGGGGTAGAACTGCCCCCCACACACACACACCCCGTGTGGGCTTCCCAGAGTGCCACTCTTTTTGGGGAGCAGGGAGCCCCGTCGTCGTTGTCTGGAAGAGCAGCTGGTGGATTCAAACGGCCGGCCGTGCGGTTCCCAGCCCAACGAGTGACCCACGCAGGGGCTGAGAATCACGTGCATGTAGAGCCGTGAACAGAAAACCTTCTTTGGCAAGGCGCCTGGTGACTAGGGTCAGACGCCCATCGCTGCCCTGCGTGATCCATCCCACCAGGCACACTGCTGCCCTCCTCTCCCCTCTGGGGGGCATATGGGCCTGGCTCCGCTACACTCTCCTCTCTGATTAAGAGCACCCTGGGGGTTGTCCAGGGTGGGGGGCACCGTTGGCCTCAAATAAAGCAGTTCCCATGCACGAGGCGCAGAGGGACTCTCCAGGTGCAAATAAGTTCGACACAGACCGAGGGGCGGATCTGAGGGGCTCTGGTTACAGCCAAATACGCAGACATGGCTGGGGCAAAAGGTGTTTGTGCTGGGTGCTCAGCGCCCAGGCTGGAAGTCAGAGTGCACCCCATGCAAAAGCATCACGGGGCAGTTCTGATGTCAGGGGCAGCAGCGTCCCCCACAGCCCCCCCACAGTCCACCTAGCACTTCGCTCTGGGGCACGGGGGGCACGTTTAGCACCCTCCAGTTTAGAAACGCACAGAGTCTGAAGCACACTAGAAAGTCTACGTGTCAAGGACCCTGCCGCCCGGCGCCAGAGAGACAGCAGGATGTCGCTGCTGGGAGCCGGCTACTCCTAGGGATGCAAGACCCGAGGCTGGAGACGCAGGGAGCCTGCAGGCAAAGCCAGGTCTAGAGTCTCCAAACAATCCAGGGAATGCTGCCGGAGCCTCTCCCTCACGGCAGGAGGTGTCTGGCATTGTCTGTTTAGCAAAGCAACCAGCTAAGTGATGCGTCAACTAAGTACAGGGCCACACGTCCGCACGGAAGCAGCCGAGCAGCCCGTGTGATCCAAGGATCGTCAAGAGTAAAATCTAGGATCAGAGGAGAGGACGATATCAGGGCCTGAATTCTGACACCTGGTGTGCAGAAGGCTGTGGACGACCGTGGGAGCCCTAAATCCATCTGCCAGAACCCCAGGTGGATAAAGCCCCTGGTGAACCCCCTCCGGGCTGGGATGGGCACAGCCTTGCTAAGAGACAGGAGCGTGTTGAAACTGGACTACTGCAGAAGCAGTTAGCTTGAAATGTCACGATGTATCAGTGGACCCCCCCCTTTTGCTCCTTTTTAAGTTTGTTCTAGTTTTTAGTATTTTCGGCTTTCTTTTCTATTGGGGTCGACCTCAAAAATAACACCACACGTCTTGTCTGTCCACAGGGGCTGGACAGAGGAAGCCATGAGACATGTCTGGAAAAGGGGCGGCGGGAGTCCAGCAAACATTGTTGCCTCGTAGCTATTGTGGTCAGTGCACTAGGGGAGCTGAGCTGGGCCTTGGGTCAGCACAGACTGGACCGCAGGCGTCTCGCAGCAGGGTGTGTGCGTGTGCAATGACCCCTCGCTGCAAAAGGCCACCTTGGATGGACACTGGAGGGTGGGGGACGGAGAGCAGGGAGCCCGGCATGCGATGGATGGACACAGGGACCACATCTCTGGTTCCCAGCGTGCAGGCGGCCCTGGGGCAGGACCGGCCAGCCTCGAGCTCTGCTGCTGGGGCCACCAAGATTCAGACCCCGCCTCAGGGCAGCCCACCAGGAGTAGGCTCTGCAGAGGTGCAAGAAGGGGAGAGGCCGGAGCCTGGCCGCCCCGCCCCCCCGGCCCCCGCCGCACCCCGGGGAGCCCCCTTACCTAGACTCCAGTCCATCTCCTCAGCAGCGTCCCCGTAGGCGCCGTGCTGGCTGTGGCCGGCGAAGTCCGGCGAGGAGAAGTGGGCCGTGTGCACGTGCAGGTAGGACAGCACCAGCAGGAAGGGCCTCTCGGCGTTGCTGCAAACAGAGCCAGGGGCCAGGTGAGCTGCGTGCAGGGGAAGCGCCCTCAGCCCCTCTGCACAGGGGTCCCCGGGACGCCCAGCCCCTTCCCTCAAAACCAAAGTCACAGCGACCCCGCAGCACAGGGCACAAGTGGGTTTCCAACACCGTCACCCTATACCAGACTAGGCAGCCTTACTGTGCTCCCGAGGAGCGGTGGGTGGTTTCGAACTGCTGACCTGGTACAAGCGATCGGGCGGTGGCTCTTGAGGACAATGCAGGATCCAGAGCCATTGCACATTAAACAGTCCGATATTAGCCCAGAGGTCTGATACCAGTCAGTAAATTCCTCTTGAGCCTCACGAAACACATGCAATGACGCCGAATGCAGGAAGATCAGGGGCCGGTTAGGGCCGGTAACTGTGTCCCTCAGAACCCGCTTCCAGAAGCACTCCTTAGCCCACTCCTTATCCCACAGGCATGGGATCATGCAGGGGAATCGCTCTCTCTCACCTGCTCTGCTGGGGGAGACGGAGGACCAGGAAGAGACAGAGTCTGCAACCTCTCTACGCTCACATCCGAGGGCTCTGGGAGGCCCGAGAGGCTGGGGGCGGGAGGCCTTTACGTCTCCCGGGGGCAGGTGAATCCCAGCCACATTCTTCTAAGTAAAAATTACTCCCCACGTGATGCGCCCCCGAAATAATGCCCATTTTTAGGTGTTGCTTGCAAGGGCCTGGTTGCTCCCTGACTACGTGATCCAGAGCGATGAGACCACCCCACCCTAACCAGGGCCCGCTCCCTTTTGATCAGGATTGTAGATTGATCCCCTGGGGAAGAGCCAGCTCAGAGACGGCCAGCGTGAGACCACTGTCCTAACTCTAGAACCGACCCATCTTGTGGCACATACACCTTCACGTGTACGCCCCTGGCACGCCCCCTTCCTGTCATGTGCACCCCTAGCACCCCCCACCCCCAATGTTACATGTCTACCTCTAACACAACCCTTGCCGTTACGTGTGTGCGTGATGTGGCTTGCGTGTCCAGGATTACATAAACGTGTGCAAGAATCCACTGGTCCACTCTCTGGTCCCAGTCTCTGTGGACAAGGTGGGCCCTTGCATGCCTGGTCTGATGCTTCTTTATGACAACCGCCCCCTGGGTCCCATTCGGTGGTGGGGCTGGTCCCCCACACTCTCCCGCTTATTTCTAGATGTAACGAACAAAACCCCGGAAGGATGCTTAACAATCCAATCTCCTGGGCCTGGCTCGGGTCCTCCCTGGCACATCGGAGGTGCGGGGAGGGCAGAATTTGCTGAGAACGGTCGGGGTCCAGTCCAGGATCCACTGGGGGCAGTCGGTTGGCCGCCCTCTTGCCCCCGCAGAACACAGTTTTCACTCGCTGGAAACCAGAAAGACCCAGAAGAAATAGCACACGGCCAACGTGACAGGCAGAGCCGGAAGCTGGGGTGGGGGGGTTCAGAAGTGGGGGGTGAGGAGCGTGACACGGGTGGTGACGACCCAAGCAAAAGCAAGGCTGGGCGGCGGGTGGGAGCCCCAGAGCGGTGCAGCTGGTTAAGCGCACCACGACCAGCTGCGAGGTGGGCACTTCCGACCCACCCAGTGGCACTTGGCGATGTGAACCCCTAAGTCACAGCCTCAGAGACTCGGCCTCCTCGGCACCCCCGGGGGAGCCAAGCCACGACCCCGCTAAGGTCAAGCCACGTGGCTTTACCCACGGGAGCCACAGGTCAGGACAGGCAGCAGCCACCATGAGGGGACGGAGCTTCACAGGGGTCACTCACAATCCCGGGACGCAGCTGCCCGTGCCTGACCTGTGAGGC